GTTCAAGTTAATTTTGGTTTTTTTTTACTGCAAAATTTGCTTGTGAAATTAGGTCAGCTTTGTAGGTTTTGATTTATAATCTGTGTATCATTGTTTATTGACGCATTAAAAAACATTATTTTCTTACAAACATGTCTTTATAAGTATAATATAATCTAAATAAATAGAAAAATTGTAAAATATAAAGCAAATCTTGTCTGTATTTTTCTTTGGTGGTATTAAAAATGTGTGCGCAAGTTCACTCATTTTGTGTGAAATATGAGAAATGTTTCTTGAGTCCATGATGTTAGTTCCAGGTCAGAGGCGGATCTGGGGTAAACAGTCGGCCGCCCTCCACTTCACCGGCAATAATAACAAAAGTTTACATTTAAAGCGGCCATTTCCATGCATCTGAGGTGCTATAGACACGCAATTTCATTGGTTAGGCAGTCTGGACCGTCTATCTGTCAATACAATTTTCTTCATGATGATGACCTCGACTATAATATTGGTCGTAGTGGTGATGATGATGAGTCCAGAGTCTGGGGATGAGTAATCTGATAATGCTGAAAATAATAATCATGGTTATGATTATGACGATGAAGAAGAGAATGAGGATGGTAGTGTAGTAGTAGTAGCAGCAGCAGCAGCAGTAGCAGCAGCAGTAGCAGTAGCAGCACCAGCAGTAGTAGTAGTAGTAGTGGCGATATACGGTATATATTTGTGAATAATAATTAAAATGATAATAATGAGGATGATGATGTTAATGATGATGAAGACGATAATAGTGAAGACGTTAATGATGTTGACGGTGGCATTGATGAATAGCCTAATAGGCATATGATACCGGTATTAATGTAGTGCTAGTGATGCTGTGATGATAATACAGAGATGATATTAAGAATATGTTGACGACGGTGGTAGTTATGATGATGATGATGATGATGATGTTGATGATGATGATGATGATGATGATGATGATGATGATGATGATGATGATGATGATGATGATGATGATGATGATGATGATGATATAAGCTAGGTTTAGGTACTTTTTTTTATATAATTTATAATTAAAGGCTACGAAGTGCTTTTAACTGGGGCTGAAACAAAGCACGGACCACTTCACAGCCTTTTAACGATGCAAGCTGGGTGTCTCGTGGTCAACCAAAAATGGTCAGAGTAGTTTGAACTTCCGACTGCACAAACAACAATACCCAGATTGGAAACCTCTGCACTTTAAGGTTGTGTTTACGAACTTTCAACGAAACCGGATAAGTCAAAAATGACATAATGCCCAGAGGGTAGGTCATTAGATCGCTCGTTTACGAACCCCAAGTTATTCGGATACGGACCGAGATAGGCCTTTCATGTAAAAACACTTCACCACTTAAACACACTTAGCATTCACACACGGTCCTTAGCAGGCTACTATGATCTCCACGAATGTAAACCGAAATTGGCCAAACACCAAACTCTCTGACGTTTATTTGGCCCCGCTCCATATTTCCTGTCCATATAATGTCCTTGACGTTACGTCATTACCGTCATTCGTCCTACCTTCCCTTGCTTTTGATGGAGACACTAATCATTTACTTCTATAGACTTCCTTCCGACTTGATCTCCTTTCAATTCAATTGTAGATATTAGGAATGTCCTCGAAGTTAAATATAAATACACACACTGTCATCATTATTCAGTTTTTACTTTTCTTTTACTTATGATACATAGTTGAAATAATTGCATATAGACGAACCGTGTGAGAATGTTGCTATGTGATGGAGATGATGCGTATGTGTACAACTTAATAAGGCCCAAAGAGGTATACCTCCTTGTTAGGCCTGTAACTTTCTTGTAAACTCTAGCTATGTTGGTCTGTAACTTTGAAACTTGTTATTGTAGTTGGAAGAATGATAATGACTATGTCAACTATGATAACGATCACAATGGTTCTACTTTAGACGTTTTGTTTGCGATGGTGTTGTAGTGGTTATGGTGGTATTTACTAATACTATTATTTGTGGTTGTGGTTGGTAGTGGTGATGGTAGCAGTAGCATTGATGGCAGACATAGGGGAAGTAATGGACTGCTCTATGTATTAAACCATGATACCATGATGAATTTGCAACAACAACAAAAAAAGAATGAGTACCTTACACATCATCTCGCACGTCGCAGGCAGAAATAGCATAGCGACAATAAAAAATATGGTTACGCGCTGGCTCAAAGCCAATCATATGGTGGATAGATCAAGATGTTTTGTTTCATATGGCA